AAAAAAAAAAAAAAAAAAAACCCTCCTTCATGCTTAAGAAGTTCCACATAAAAGTTGTTCCTAGATCTTCTATTCTACTTCCTGGTTAATATTTATAAATATTGACAGCCATGGCAGAATTTTTACAGATGATTTAGTCTATATAGAACTCTAGAACTAATGTTTCCTCTCAATAAACTGGTAACTTCTCCTTCACTGGACAAAGTAAATAATGTGACCAACACCATGAGTAGGACTACCAAAACTTTTTTCGTATACATTATGTCCCATTGGCAACTTGGAAGACATTTTTCCACAAGAATATTTTAGCTTCCTTCAATATAAATACAGGACTCATTCTCTAAAACACTCCCACTATTTTTTAAATTCTATCCATTTATTTTACTAAGCAATTATAAAGCATGCAGAATTTTACATGGCGTCAAACACCTTAAGATGCTAGAACAAGAATATAGCATCAGAGTTTAAGACATATAAATATTAATCCCACCCGTACTATTATAAAACTCAGGCAAATATTAAGCATACCTAATTTGTCAACTAAGGCATAAGTTAACTTAAGTCCAAAAACAATCATCCCAGAAAAAAAGGCAAAATTATAATGTTCAAATATATGATTCACAGAGAAGCAATCTTTTTTTCATAGCAAGCTTAGCTTTAATATATATAAAATTAAAAAAAAATTCAATGCAGCACTTATGTTACGACTTTATGTTAACAACTGCTTTTATTGAAGCATGACAGTAACCTTTTTCTTTGACTACCAAACATGACATAAAGCTCACCAATTAAAATATTATTAAGTACATTGATACTTTCTTAAGCCATATATATAAGAGCAAGACTGAAAAACTCTGGAGTTCCTATGTAGCTTTAGGGTTATTGTTTTGCTTTGTTTCAAATTTATGGCCTGATTTGTATAACCAGTGGTTCTGAGCATATGGCATTTTGAAGTAGAGTAATCAAAGAACAAAGGATACTATTTTTTAACATTCAAGAAAGAAGGAAGAAGTAATCAAACCTGCTGCAAAATAATGAAATGTTCTGACTAATGGAATAATGTGTGATGGAACAGGTAGAAATCTGAAAATGCGACAGAAAAGCAGACCTCTTCTTAGAACTAGATGCTGAGTTTGTGCTGACTCCAGGAGGAATGTCGCTATAAAAAGAGTCACCATCTCCAGGCTTTTTTACATAATCTCCCTGGGGTAACTGTCTAAGGCATAATAAACATTTCAGAGTCAGAAAACAAGACACACACATGAACACAGACATATACAAACATTATTTCAGAAAAAAAGAGAGGTAGGGATAATGATCTACATGAATCAAATCTATACAACACATGAAATTATTAATAAATGTGACAAATTAAAGTCATTCTAATTGTAGAGGTCAAAAATGCAATCACTAAAATCTATAGTTTAGATGAATACAGACTAGCTTTGGGGAAAAAGATGGAAAGATGAAATGTTTTCATTGTAATTTCATTATACTTTGGGATGTTAACTGCAATTGTATCTTTTTTTTAAAAAAAAGAAAGAAACTGGTGTCTTAACTTAGGACACACAGTCCTTGCCTAGATAAAGTGTAGCTTTATTTCACTGTGGTGAATAAACTATTCATGATTTCTAAATTATTATATAACTTAACCTTGATTTGATTTAAAAGAACTGATTGATTTCTAAACTCTTCCATACTTAATTCAAATAAATCCTTATTAGAGTTTAGTGTTTGATTTGCAACTCTGTTTAACAGAAACATGAAGAAACTGGAAAGATTCAAAGTTGAATCTTTGAGGAAGGTAATTTTATAGCTGGTGAATAGGCTATGTAAAAGGAGATAATATAGCAGGAAGAAGAAAGGGTTAAAAAAAACCCTGAATTTTTGGTGAGTCTATAAAGGGATATTTACAGCTAGTTGGTAGGTGACCTCGTAGCAGGGGTACAATAAGGGACAATCTATTTATTTATTTATTTATTTATTTATTTATTTATTTATTATAGAGACAGAGTCTCACTTTTTCGCCCTCGGTAGAGTGCAGCGGAGTCGCTCCAGCAACCTCCAACTCCTGGGCTTAGGCGATTCTTCTGCCTCAGCCTCCCGAGGGACAATCTATTTAATCTGCACTGTAAGTGACTTTATTCAACTATTCTGAAATAACTAAGATAGGAACAGTTATTTACTACTCATCTTAAGGTAATCAGATAGAAACTGCAAGATAGCATCCCCAGTCAACACTCCTAGAGTAGCTAATATGATCATTTGTCAATGGTGTCGCCCCTAAACAGCCAAATGCATCTAAAACTTGATTCAGTTCCATTTAGCACTATTGCTGGAGGTGCCACAAACTAGTGCAAGACTGAGAATTTTAAACAGGGTTCTACTTAACTAAATCTCCAACAAAAGCATCAATGTGCTAATTTTTTTCCTGTTTGGTGTCTCATTTACCATTATAGTCTTGGTTACTTGATGATGCTAAAAATTCCAAAAATGCCATTTTCAAATATCTGCTTGCTTATACTGATTCCATATTGCTGTAATGTTTAAAACACTTTGTTAGTCATTCTTTTGAATGACTGAATATCATCTCATGTTATTTCAATGCTTTGTATTCATAAATGTCTTATAAGTCTAAAAAATTTCAATTAATATTAAACATAAAACAATATTTTCATTAATTACTTTACTTTCATTAATTAACTTCTTCTCTTTCACAAAGAAAACAGAATTTCTCACAAAATTATAAGACTAATTTTACCTCTAATCTAATTCTTTGACGTAGGTTCCTCTAAGATACGTTTTTTAATTCTGTGACTTCAGCTCATGCTGGTTATATTTTATTTTTACCAATGTATTACGAAACATTAATTTTATGTAAAAAAATAAGAACTGCTATCATTTATAGTGTTCTATGACATGATATATTTTCCTACGCAAGAGATCTTTGATCTTTATAATTGTATTTTCTATTTTATCTCATATCAATAAAACATTCCATCAATGCTTACCAAAATATTTTTCTTAATAAAATTAGAGTTCTGTATTTTGCCCCAAGGAGAAAGCTCCCTTTTGTATTACATTAATGTTTGTAAAAGAATCCTGTCAACATCACATTTCCACTAATAATCTTTATGGTTAACAATTGCTTTTTGTCGCTACTACCTTTAATGATATTCTTTATAAGCTGATGAGATGTGTGCTACCAAATTCAAATTAAATAAAGATAAGCTACTATGTGATATCTGCAAACTACATGTGACCTTTCCCATTACTCTCTTCCCCAAATGACCTTCTCTTTACAGGGTTCTGGCATTCAGGCATTTACCCTGGCAATTACCAAGGCCTCACTTAGCTGATACTAAAGATGTAAGGAGACTGCCTTTCACAATGGAAGAGTCTCAGTTTTGTTTTGTTTTTAAACTGAACACGTCTTACCACTCTTTCAATGTAACTTCTCTGCAGTTCATGGTCATTTTTTCCAACATTTCAAATGCTAAACATGTTATAAACTGTGGGCTTAGATCAAGTTGTTGCAAGGGGCTCGGCGCCTATAGCTCAACCGGCTAAGGTGCCAGCCACGTACACCTAAGGTGGCGGGTTCGAATCCCCAGCCCAGACCCGCCAAACAACAATGATGGCTACAACCAAAAAATAGCCGGGCATTGTGGCGGGCGCCTGTGGTCCTAGCTACTTGGGAGGCAGAGGCAGGAGACTCGCTTGGCCCAGGAGTTGGAGGTTGCTGTGAGCTGTAGTGCCACGGCACTCTGCCCAAGGGGACAGCTTGAGGCTCTGTCTCAAAAAAAAAAAAAAAAGTTGTTGCAAGGGAGTTTTAGTTTAATGTGCTTCTGTGGCACCACTTGATTTTCATCACCCTGGCAGATTTGATTCTTACCCATCTCCACCGCAAATTCTCCAAAATACAAAAGCTACTTTACTGTATTCTCCTTAAAATTCTACAAGGAATGATTTTCCTCACGTAGTAAATGTCAAGGGTAGGTGACGAATTTTATGAAAGATCTCTCAAGAATAATATTTAAAATCCTTCACTGTCCAGAAATTTCTCCTTTTACAATATTTACTACATATTATAACTAACTTATTTCTTCTTACTTTAGTGGAAATGAAGAATATCAGGGCCCCGTGATCAATAAAATCACATTTCATCATTTGTTACCAAAGATCATAATTACCACCTAAATGATCCCTTTAAAATGTTTAAATTGGACTTCTTTTTCTTGGCTTTTATTATTTTCATGGCTTTACTCTTAAATCTTGAGTGTTTTTCTTATCTCATAAAATTTTGTATACTAAAAGTGATTACCACCTTAGGTGGCCTGACCAGTGGTAAGTTTTAAAATAGGAAAATCACCTCATTATTTCTCAAAATACATGCAAATATATTAGACATGCCCATGATATTTTTGAAAACAATAACCAACCAAAAGAAAATACTTATGTAAGTCTTTTTTTTTCCTCAAACAAGATCGCTTCTTATGTTAATCACAGATTGTCTTTTTATCCATTCACAACCTTGGCATTTATTTTGTGTTCTGAATTAATATGCTCCATTAAATATCATTCTTTTAAAGGTATTACCTATTCTCTAAGACAAAGCCTGACTCCCATAACCTGATGACTCTGGGGGAGTTGATTTACAGTTGACAAACTGCAATTACTATTTCTCTCCAGCTCTATAATACCCATGCTTGTCGCTTGCTTATTCCTGATTTCAGAAGACATAGTCAGCCTACCTCCCAAAGTGTTCAGAATTATAAATCATCTAGTGTTAGCATTATAAGTTTAAATATTAAATAAGACTATTTCTTGGATCACCCCAAAACCTTCAGACAAATAGCTGGTCCTGTTAATATAAGTCTGATATTTCTTAAAAGTACTCATTAAATTATAATATTTATCTCAATGATCCTTATGCATACTTAGAATGAGATCCTTTTACAACCCCATTTAACCAAGTCTTAACTTTAATCCTGAAAGGGGCTTTTCTCCAATACTTGGTTGGTGTCTGGGTTAATCCTTATTAGAATTCTTATTTTACTATTTTAAGAAATATTGCATACACTGTATATATACCAAGTCACATTGATGGATACATGGATAACACTGAAATAATAGTATTAATAATAAAAAATTAAGAAAGATTTGAAAAAAATAGGAAGTTCACAAGCATAAAATAAAGCAGCTAAAACAGGTGAGAGAAAAAAAATGGGGCAGGGGAAGGGAGTTCTGCTTAAAGCACAGTAAACTCCCCATTATCTGGAACTCAAGAAGCTAGCACTGACCAGGCTCCCTTCCCCCCCAAAATTCAGAATTTAGATTTGGTGCATATGCTGTCAGTAAGCCCACGCTTCGTGCATCACTCCCACAGCTCCCATGTGTTCTCTGTAACAGGTCCAAGTGTTAACGTGTGTTAATTGAAGTTAAAAAAAATATGGTATGAAGTTGAAAAGTATATTGATTGCCATTTAACTAAAATTGTACATTGCATTAACAAAGCTGTTTTATAATGCAGTAAAACTGTGTTACAGCAAGAAGATTGTTTTTCTCTTCATTTGCTTATAATTAGTATATTTCAATATTAATATCAACACAGAGTTTATGGTATGGTTTGGTATAGTACTACAGGGTAAAGAATTACGTAGGCCTATTTTTAATAGTACCTCTCAAACAACCAGAAACTACATTTATCCAGGATCTACCAATCCCCAGGGGTGCAGGAAAATGGAGAGATTACTGTAAAGCCATAAATCAGAAAGACAGGATCTCATTATTTATTCTATTTCTCATAATCATAATGATGCATGTTCATTTTAGACAAAGTAAGAGAATAAGATTTCAGCTGGATGTAGATGTGTTATAAATCTAAGTTCAGTTACTGTTTCGTAATCTATTGCTATTCATAAACTTGTTCTAACAACTAAAACAAGCCACACGCTAAGTCTGAAAGCAATTATGCTATAAAATTAACAGTAATATCAACTGAAAAAAAAGTGGAAGCATTATTTCCTGAAGATTTTAAAGAATAGCTACCCCTCTTCCTCATTATTAGATGTCTAAGGCTTCTCTATGGCTCCATGGTTCCATGGTTCCACACTTCACAAGATACTAGCAGATTTAAAGTGATGTCTTACATGTGTGGGGTTCTGTCTCCACAATGTCCCAGAATAGGGTTTCCATTTTCTTTTTTTCAATAACAGTTTGTCAACAAAAGGAAAAAACTGAGTTTGGTTCTCATCTGTCTGTCAAATTTGCAAGTAAATATATATAACATGATTCTTTAATATACTGAAAGCCCTGAGGGGACAGTCTCAGGAGGAAAAATTTATCTGGTTATCAGATTCAGGCACAAAGTCACTTGCCTGTCCTCTCCAACAACTTGAAAGTTATCCCCAGTTTGGCATTTCTGAGCCATTACAACATTAATAAGAATACAATAACTGGCCACATATTTATTATTTGCATTTAGAGTCAAAGCAAACTTTATGTTCACTAACATTTCCACCAGATCAACCACATGTGTGGTCCTCACACATGTCAATGAATGCTGCCTTCCTCTCAGAAAACAGCCACATCCTTCTCTTCCACTCAAAGATAGGGAAACGCAGTCTTCAGAGACCACATGTTACTAACTTTCCTTTGCCGTAATGCCTAATTAATCACAAAGAATATTATTTGATTGTAGAGTTCAGAAATGTTTAAGCAATTTCCCAACACCACATACTAGTAGATTTCTGATTCCCTGTGGATTGGGCCTCCCACCGTAGACCGTCAAAGAAAAACCTAATTGAAAGGCAATGACAACTCAAAATTCTGAATTCTATTTCCTGGCTACTTTTTAGCATTGAGTAGGTCTTTATTTGAATGTCTGCGGATATTTTTACAAAACCGAAAATATCTTGATGCAACTTTAATCTGTTGGCCTTACCACTTTCTCTATAATCACTAATGTATTTTCAAAAAGGAAAATCTTTTAGGATGTACTTACACATTCACAATTACCTGATCTGAAATCTATTCTTTGCTATTCCTCCAGTTTAAGAACTATCATATTAATCCAACAGTCATTAACTATGGGCAAGGGCAAAAAAAAAATATATATATATGGTGAAATATATCAAAATATATAAAATAAATATACGGAAGATGTGACAACTCTCAAAATATGGACTAGATTCCAGGAGAGTAGTCAGACCAGTGAAAAGATGACTAAGCACCACCGGGAGACATCAAATTATAGCAGGCACAGAATGAAGATTCTTTGTGTGAAATGTTCTTAACTGTGTCTCTACATATACTGAGTTAGAATGAGACATTAGTATATACTTTTGAATACTAATCATTTTTGGATAGTGTGAGCAATTCTCTTTATTTGGATAGTATCTCTAGTGAGAACATATCTTTCAGTGCTGTTTTAACTTTGCTTACGTTACTTCTTTGAGATATTTTACTTTCCTTTCCCGCAATATTAAATTACATTATGGAAACAGAACTGAATCATTCATTTTGTATCTTATTCTCTTAGTTCTCTTTTCCACTAAAGAATGCCACTAAACTTATTATGACTAATCAACTTCTACCCAACCGAAAGCCTAAATAACTCTTGCTCTACTTAAGTGCTTTTGAACATAAAACTTTAATGCTTTGAAGAAATATAATCGTTTTTAAAATAGAATTAATTTTATCTCAATTTACTTTCCCCCTTAATAGGAGACCCTTGCACCTCTAGGGCAAAGTCAATTTTCCTAATATCCACACTGACCAGGATTTCAATTGATACCTCATGGGCAGGCACCGTGTACATAGAGAGAGATTCTTGAGATTCTTAAGGGGAAAGACTTAAAAGAATTTTAAACTGCAAACAGAAGAGTAAATATTAAAGTTATTATTTGTAAACAAATGAAAATTGTGGTTAAGGCTTGAAAAAGTATCACCACATCTGTCACACTTTATGTATAACCCACCATGGGCACATAATTGGACAATGGAAAAAGTTAAGTAGAAATCTGCAAAATACTCTTAGTACTAAATACTACATAATGTATAAGACCTGGACTGGCCCATTAATTTCCAGGGTAATATTTTGATTTTTTTTTCTGTCAATAGCTAGTAGCGTTAGTCACTTTTTAAATCTGAACAGGGAACAGTGAATCCCAATATTATGTGTTAAGATTTAGATAAAATAGGCAACTGTTACAGAACAACATGAATGTTTGTATCTCTTTTTATGCTGTTAGTTAAACACAGATTCTAAAGCTGTGCTGAACAGGACACCTGACTTTCTCTATGGACACTTTTGTTCAAAAAAGTACATAAAACAATCAGAGATTCCAACTGTGCAATTTCTTCAACTACCTGTGTGATTAATCAATTAAAAATATTTCCTTATGTAGAGATAAACAGGCTGATGAGTTCTAGGACATTCCCCTGACAGCAACACTGTCCAAATAAACTTTGTCACTTACGAATGGAAGTTATTAATGTAACAACAATAACAAATACAAATAAATTCCCTCTGAAGGTATTAGGCAATAAGACTGTTATAAATGAAGAAATGTCAATATTGATATAAACAAATGTGACACCTTAACATAGAGGAAGTTTTAGATGGAAAAGAATCAATTTCTACATGTATTACTATTGTAAAAGAACAATTAAAGTTAAATAATGACGGATCTATTTTATATTAATGTATTTCATAGAACCATCATTAAAATTATTAAGATCACAAAAAACCAAGATTAGTATATAATCGTTGTAGCATTAAAAACAAAGTGAACTTAATTTATAATTGCATGTATGAATTCTAACATTATATAATAGAAGTTAAACCTTTCAGTTATGTGTTCAGATTATTCTTATCACATACCTCTGTTCCCGATAGTTTCTTTTCATGGACAAGAAGAAAGTGGGGGGAAAAACACAAGAATTAGTTACCTATAGAGGGACATTAAGAGGGAGCACTAAATGTCAAAGCTTCAGCATTTATTGAAAGGCCTCCCCTAGTAGATTTTAAATTGCAGAATTAAAATGGAAAACACACATAAAAATCTCACTTTGCCTTAGGGCAGGTGACAAAGAGTGAGTGACAATATTTTCAAATAGCTATCCCTTTCTAAAAGCATAAATAAGCATAAATCATGAAAAAGTAACTGTTTTCTCAATGTCCATTGTATTTCACAAATATTAAGTAGTGTTTTAAAGTCAATTTTATTTCAAATATAAGTTTTCAGACATATACATTTTGATTTAAGAAATGAAATTAATGAATCAAGTTCCTTATATAAATTTACCATATTTTCATAGAAATAAAATCATAATTTATTCTTGTGGGAATACAAACCCCAAACTATAGCTATTCCTAAGAATTTCAAATAGGAGACCATAAATTCACACCAGAATATTTTGTCTCATCACGTGTCATTTAAAAAATGGATTAATTCACAGCTGTCGCAGCTGTAAGTATTAACTTACTACTACTTACTCACTGAAGCTTCACATCAGAAAAATCTGCTTAACATTTAGTCTCTGTTTTTTATTTGATTATAAGATGAAATAAAGTGAGTTTTAAAATAAGCTTATCTTTAAAAAAAATTTTAAAAAAATTTTAAAAAAAAGGTATGATGGTGCGGCACAGAGACTTTTTTCAAGTATTAATTCTTAATTTTCTAACTTGACATAATTATTAGTATTTTGAAGCCATGTTAGGAAGGTCAAGCAACTGAGTAGCTTTGGGGTCCGGCCTCTAACATCCGGAATAATGTTTCCAGACAGGCACCTTCTGTAGCACCTTCCCCTGCCAAGTTAATCCTTCCACATGGTAAGCATCTGTTTAATAATGGGCAGATGAGGGTAAAAGTACCTATTTGTTATTAATTTAAATTCTAGAAACTATCAGATGAAGGGGAACATAAACTTAGTATCTTTACAGTCAACACCTTTTACTTAATTCCCTCAATCTGGTTACCTGTGCTATAGAGCTGCAAACAAATATTCCTCATTTCTTATTCCTGCTATTTCCCTCTCCAAGGTTTGGGTAGCAGTAGAAAGTTTAATTGGAAGGATAATGAGAAAATGAGCTCTCAGGTCCTGTATCTGTTTTTGAACTTCAAATAGAATATGTGAAGCATCATATATTCATGAGTTTAATACCTCTACTAAAATTTCCATGCTCTCATTCGATTTTTAAACATGTTCTGGTTAATTTTAGAAACCTTACAACTTTAATCATTTAGATTCAAATTATTTATAAAGAGGATACTGCAATGTGAACAAAATTTGTCTTTGTCCTGCATCAATCTGCAAAGCACACATATTCAGAAACAAAACCCCCAAATAATGGTCCTAAAAATAAGATATCACATAAAGAAGTACTTTTAATTCTAATCATTAAAAAAACAGACACCAATATCTTTGTAAGTAGTAAATGTTCAGGTTTCATGATTTCTAAAAAGTAAGTCCTTCTAAGACTGTAAAAATGAAATATCCACTCGATCAGTAGGTGGCAGAAAATCACACACTCTAGGGCTAACAATTTTTCTTTCAGTTCTCCTGTGACCAAATGAAACCACTAAACTACTTCAGAACAATGCTTGTGATGGCAATTACTACATACAGTGAAGATGAGGAAATGGCACAACTCCAAGATAGAGTTAAATTTGCTTGAGGTATGAGAGGAAATCATATGACAAGCCAAAGTCTTCCTTTCAAACTTATAATTTTATAACTTCGTATATTATCCTGCTATCAGAATGTGTGAGTCTAAGTGTACAATACACCTGATCTCCTGCACACTGAAGGGCCCCCAGGCATTGAGCACCTGCTGTGAACTGGTCCAGGGCCAGGTACTTACTTAATCAGGGCAAAGCTTACTTCCATGCTATGTTTTTCTTCACTATCCTGTGCCACGTCACTGGATGCTAAACTGTATTATGCTGTTTGTGCTGCTTGTCGACACAGTTTTATTTCTATGTACATCATAAAATAAATGTCTTTATTTGGATGCTTGTAACATACAAAATTTATTCTGGCAGCTCTCCCTTTTCACTCAAAGAAGGTCTTTCAGGGTTTTGATCTCACAAGCAATTGCCATAAATACTTTTAAAGATGTTTCCTTTGATTCAGTTGGTTTAAGACCATGTCAGGTAATAATAATAATAGCATCAAACAATTACATAACACATACTGTGGGCCAGACACTACTCTGAGTGTCTGACATATAATTAACTTGCAGAACAAAGATGAGTCTATTAAAAGGCATAGGGTAACTTTAAAGTCTGAAATATTCTAATTCCCAAAATATTTAGTGACCTAAGTTGGAGCCATGAGGAAAAATATGCTATGGTATGGAGGTAGGAGTGCTCTGAATGCCTAGCAAAAGTTGCCTTTGAAATCGAGAAAAACTCACAGACCTGCAGACTAGGGCATCATCATCAGAAGCCAGAAGGACGTGGTTTTAAGGTTGAAATATTAAACGGAACTTAAGTTTCACCATAGTTCTGCTTAGCTTCTTAAACTGAGTTATTTGAATACTAATAAAATTTTTTACATCAGAAGAACTTAAAGTACTTAAAAAAGGGAATTGAACAGATTAGTCTAGAATGTTTAAAAGGATTTACTTAGTAAAAAATTTTTCGGGCTCAGCACCTATAGCTCAACCAGCTAAGGCACCAGCCACGTACACCTAAGGTGGCGGGTTCAAATCCCCAGCCCAGACCCGCCAAACAACAATGATGGCTGCAACCAAAAAATAGCCAGGCATTGTGGCGGGCACCTGTGGTCCCAGCTACTTGGGAGGCGGAGGCAGGAGACTCGCTTGAGCCCAGGAGTTGGAGGTTGCTGTGAGCTGTAATGCCACGGCACTCTGCCCAGGGGGACAGCTTGAGACTCTGTCTCAAAAAAAAAAAAAAAATTTTTTTTCAGGGCATCAAATACTATTCAAAAGTTTTATGATTTACATATAGAACAAAAAAACTTATAAGTTGACCTAGGAAGCTTAAGAGAATTAGGCTTAAAATTTGTAATTTGAAGTATAATTTTCACAAACAAATCTCACAACAGTCTTCACACAGAACACTCTCATAATTAGCAAATAATGCCTTCTTGTTGTTGGTTATGAAGATAAAGAGGTTCTGCCTTTAGTGTGGTATGTGACTCCAGAAAACACTCAATAACCGATCTGTTGCTATTGTCCTTGTTATTACTGTTATTATTAACATAGTTATTATATCACTAACCTCCCTGTCTTGCCTAGATTTGGAGGTATGGGTTAAGTTAAGACCAGCTCTGTCACTTAAGGGCAAAGCAATCAAGCCTTCTCTTAGAAGACACAATTTAGATCGATTTTAATTCACTTTGATAATTTTATTTTTAACTAATCTGCCTAACATCATTTTTTTGTTTTTTTATTTGATTATTTATTTTACTTTTTTATCCATTTGTGTAAAAAGACTTTTTTTTATTAATCGATTCAGGTTCATTGAGGTACAAAGAATCAGGTTACACTGTTTGCAGTTTTTAGGTAAAGTCCCTTTAATAGTTGTGTCTCAACCCCAAGAGGTATGCCATATACCCCCGTCCCCCTTCTTCCTCCCGGCTCCCCACTTCCTCATTCCCCTGCCCCCTACCTTGAATTTGAGTTCTTCTCTTATGTGGGTATATATTAAATTATCTACTGGCTTCATGATTTTGATGATTTTAAAACAACATTTAGTACTTTTAGAATAGAAGGGCACTGTCTCGAATTTTTAAAAAATGGTAAATTATTACTACTCCTAACCCTGCCAAAAAAATTACTGTTGAGCTAGAACAATTTTCACTGCAAGTATATTTATTCAATGATACAAAATTTTCTAGATATTTTCATTTAATTAAAATGTTTTAAAGTCTATTTTGATAGTAACAAGACTGAGACATTTCACTTACTTATAACCCCACGCAGTTATTCCTAATATGAGGGCCAGCACTAAAATGGTGCCAGCAATTATGCCTATTATAATGTTGGTGCCAGCAACACCTGGAAGGAAAAAGAACAAAGTACATCAGTGACAGAAAATTCTTCTAGGAACTTTACTATCCAGATTTGTCATCATCACATTAACAACAATTTTTTTTTAATGAGTGTTTTTGAAAGGAAAGAAAAATCAACTACAATTTAGTAATTCACATGATTTTTTAAAATAACTTTTTGCACATGTTCCTTGTGTCCAAGTATAATTTGCACAGTTGTATTTTCCATGTATTTATCTGGAAAACAGGATGCATCGAACTGAAAGAGGGAAAAGTACTGATGCAAAAAAGGGGGTGAGGGATACTAACTATCACGTATGTCGGCCCAGCACCCTTTAGGGAGGAACTTATAGAAAACCTGTGTTCCTTTTGACTCTCACCACTTTCTCAGAAATTCTGAAAATGTTATTGTGCGTATCACTCCAATATGACAACTAAGGCAAGGTCCTTACTCTTGTTGTGTTCATGTATGATAGTCCATCTCTCAAAGTAAATACACCATATTTTGCTGGGTGTAATGCACACTTTTTCCCTAATTTTTTAAGGAAAAATAAGGATGCATATTATACATGGGAATTAATTCCATATCTACATAAATGTTTTAAATTCTTTTATTTATGCTTATGCATAAAGGTCTAACTCTAGAAAACAATAATTATATCTGTAAAATACCCTTATGAACCTATGATGAACTTACAACAGAAGCATTTCAGCCAATGAAGAGTATGTATTTTTCTTCATGTACTTTAGGTGGGAGCTAGCAATCTAGCTGATATTTTTACAATTATTGTGAAATCCCTTGGAAAATGTTGAAATGGTTTTCATACATTGCAAGATTTAAGCTTTGAATTTAAATTAAAAAATTAAAATGGGCTCGGCACCTGTGGCTCAAATGGCTAAGGCGCCAGCCCCATACACCTGAGCTGGTGGGTTCAAATCCACCCTGGGCCCGCCAAACAACAATGATGGCTGCAACCAAAAAATAGCCAGGCGTTGTGGTGGGCGCCTGTAATCCCAGCTACTTGGGAGGTGGAGGCAGGAGACTCGCTTGAGCCCAGGAGTTGGAGGTTGCTGTGAGTTGTGACCTGTGATGCCACGGCACTCTACCCAGGGCAACAGCTTGAGGCTCTGTCTCAAAAAAAAAAAAAAAAAAATTAAAATGAACGATTTTTTTCTTGAAAGTTTGGACCAAAAATGTAGGTGCCTATTACTGACAGAAGCGCAGTAGAAACATCAAAACGATTAAACTTCTTAAGGGAGAAAACATGTCTACAGGCTTATATAATCAGTGCTCAGGTGGTGTAGATGATAAAAGCACTGGGCTTATAATTCCCAGTCTGGCCAGTGGTGGCTGTGACATTCTAGAGGAGGAGAACCCAAAGGAAAACAATGCCTGGTAGCTGGAGATTGGTGCTAAAGGAGGTGGCACCAGAGCGGCAAAGCGACAGGCAGGTAGAGTCCAGGGTAAGGCCGAAGCTGAGGACTCAGGATGGCACCGTTGAGTCAGCATCCATTGTCAATCATGCTGAGATATAATCCTTAAGGGAATCACGGCACAGAGAATGGTACAGTGAGTCAAAGGCTTGGTCAATAAGCTCAAGTGAAGGCCCAAGAATGGAAAGGCCTGATCTGAGCAAGGCCTGGCTCTGACACGAGGATGATGATTTATACTGCACATTTAATCACAGAGCTCTCATCCAGAGCCGCTCAGCTCCCTGTCTGCTCCACTCCTGAGGCATTCTTCTAGACACTGAAGGTCAGTAAGCATGAGTGAGTGAAGGAGATTCCAATTCCCCATGACAGAAATGGCAGTCTCTCTGTCAGGTGGCTCTCAGTAGTCATGCTGGACAGCAGAGGTAGGACATGAGCAGGCTGGTGACACTAACCTGCCAGGTCCTCTGTGGGATGAGTGGATCCAGATGCCAGAGGACCTTGGATTTTCTAACTCCAAGACCTAGCATTTCTGTCCTATCTTCTTTTTCTTCCAAGCATTTAACAGGGAACAATAAGCCTAGATGCTAGTCTTGATAATTTCTAAGTAATAGTAAGTTAGTTTTGACAAGTTGCTTAAATCCGTGTACCTAAATATCCTCATCTCTGCAGTGACAACTGAAACAAGCTCCATACTACCACTGCTAAGATTGGGGACTGCAAAAATCTTCACCACACCGCGACTTTCTTTATTAAAGTCTTACTAACTAAGCTTTTTTTTTTTAACCTATCTAGTTGACTAAAATGAATATATTCCTCTTTTCTTGTCCTTTGGGAGTAAATGGATTTCAGGATTTGAGTACTATTTCATGCAAAAGAACTCAATAATAAAATGTTAATTGGTTTAAAGGGGACATTTGCCTCCCAGGTATGCCTTCTTTCACATGACTGTATTTAATTTCTACTTCCCAACTTGGGCCAGCTTTTCTTTTTTTTTTTTTTTTTTTTTTTTTGAGACAGAGCCTCAAGCTGTCCCCCTGGGTAGAGTGCCATGGCATTACAGCTCACAGCAACCTCCAACTCCTGGGCTCAAGCGAGTCTCCTGCCTCCGCCTCCCAAGTAGCTGGGACTACAGGCGCCCGCCACAAAGCCCGGCTATTTTTTGGTTGCAGCCGTCATTGTTGTTTGGCGGGCCCGGGCTGGGGATTCAAACCCGCCACCTTAGGTGTACGTGGCTGGCGCCTTAGCCGGTTGAGCTATAGGCGCCGAGCCCAGCTTTTCTTTTCTTTTTCAATATTTAACAAATTTATGGGTACAAATTGAATTCTATTACATATATACAGCATAATAGTTAAGTCTGGGTTCTTAGAGCACTTATCATCCAAATCATGTATATGCTGTTTCTTATCCATGTCCTTAAAATCCTTCAAGTCACCATGGCAAAGTTTATATCTTCTAGTTCAGGCTACAAAAATGGGGTTGAATATCAGTGAGATTCTATTAAAATAAAATATTTAAAAAATTAATTCTTCAATTGTTCATTTTTCTTAATATTCTGTCTCAAGATATAAAGTTCTTCCTTTAAATTTAGACAGTTAAGTATTATGACTACTCTCTTCATTAGTGGCTGACACCCATAATCCTAGCATTCTGTAAGGCCAAGGAAGGTGGATTGCTAAACTCACAAACTCAAGACTAGCCTGAGCAAGACTGAGACCCCAACTCTACTAAAAATGAAAAACTGAGGGTTGCACCTGTGGCTCAAAAGAGTAGGGCGCCAGTCCCATATGCCGGAGGTGGCAGGTTCAAACCCAGCCCCGGCCAAAAACTGCAATAAAAAAAAAAAAGAAAAGAAAAACTGAGGCAAGAGGATCCCTTCAGCCCAAGAGTTTAAGGTTGCTATCAGATGTCATGCCATGACACTCTACTGAAGGTGACAAAATGAGACTCTGTCTCAAAAACAAACAGAAAAAGAAATGTTAACGTTTGTTGATGCCCTAGACAGGCACAATAGTTGACAAATCTCAGTCTGAAAGAAGGCTAAATCAGTAGACTACATTATATACAATATTACGGATCATCACAACTTAATAAGGATGATCAGTTTCACAAAGTGGACCCCAATTTACATTGAAATTCGTTATTATGTGGATATAATTTATTTTTGAGTTATCATAAAAATTAATTCAAATAAAAATGTCTTAAGAGCAGTTTTCTCTTTCCTTGTATATAAACACCACAAAATGATACCAAATTAAGTACCCACCATTTCCAGACAGAGTGATACCAGTCTTTTCATCATCATTGTGAGGAAAGTAAGTGTTGCAGTCAGCACCTATCCAGTGTCTGTTACACACGCACTTCAGCTCATTACTGCAAACCTGAAATCCAAAATCAAGCTAGAGTAAATGTCAACTCTGATACAGAGGCATGAAAAATAAACATTAATTTCTAATTATCACATACTTAGAATTTGATATTTAAAAATTATTGGCAATAATTAATAATAATTACATTATTTCTCACTCTAGTACCTAAAAAAGTATTTGCTGACCCAAAGGGAAGAAGAAAATTTAACAGAGGAATTAATCTGCATCTAAAAGAAATCAATGTAATTGTTGCCTTGATTTTCATTAACTTAAATTTTATGAGGGAGATTTAAAAAACTAAGCAGACATACAATCATCTGTCAATTATTCAATACAAAATTTTTTTTCTTCCAAAGGAAGGGTCTTTTTGATAAAAATGTTATTAATACTTTAGAGAGCTAAACAAGATAAAGAAAAGTCCAACAAAGACATGAGAAGGCCTGGTGGTCTGCAAGGCTCCAGGAAGAAAGCTTCAAAAGGGTGTAAAATCCTGGCTCCTCAGCCCAAGCCACAGAAACTAGTGATAGCAACCTCAGGAGCATGGGAACTAAGAACTCCCACAAATAAAGCGTAGAAAACAATGCACTTAGAAATGGCAATTTTTTTAATTGTATGAAAATGGTCTATCTTCATTCATCCACCCAGGAAACAGAATCTACACCCAGATCTTATAATTCAGAACAACTCTGAATGGAGTGAGAAGTAGGAGAGCTTTGTCAGGTTTAAGATTAGTGAAGTTCCTCCTAAGGCAACTCTTCACTGCAGGGAGAATTCTCTCTTGTCTGATCTAATTTTCAGGGGACAGCACACATCCATGTCTAAATGTAGCTATAGGCTCAGCGCCTGTGGCTCAACCGGCTAAGGCGCCAGCCATGTACACCTAAGGTGGCGGGTTCAAATCCCCAGCCCGGACTCGCCAAACAACAATGACGGCTACAACCAAAAAATAGCCGGGCGTTGTGGCGGGCGCCTGTGGTCCCAGCTAATTGGGAGGCGGAGGCAGGAGACTCGCTTGAGCCCAGGAGTTGGAGGTTGCTGTGAGCTGTAATGCCATAGCACTCTACCCAGGGGGACAGCTTGAGGCTCTGTCTCAAAAAATAAATAAATAAATAAATAAATGTAGCTATAAGATAGCCCCATTAGGAGCTGAAGATGAACACATAGGCAGAAAGAAAAAGGTTTAGGCTTAAAATCAAAAGGCCTGGATTTGAATTCCCTATTTTACTCCAGTCCTATTAAGGGACCTCAATCAGGTCACCACCTTCTTCGAGCATCAGTTTCTGTATCATTTGACAGTTAACAGTGGTACAGTAACAAGGACAGGGATGCCACTGTAAGATGATCACCATAAGTAACGGATAACATTTACTGAATACTCACTATGGCCCTGGCATTGTTTTAAGTGCTTTACAAGTAGTATCTGTTTTATTCCTTTTTTTTCAGACAGAATCTCAAGCAGTCACCCTGGGTAGAGTGCTGTTGCATCACAGCTCATAGCAACCTCCAACTCGGGCTCAAGCAATCCTCTTGCCTCAGTTTTTCTATTTTTAGTAGAGACGGGGTCTTGCTTTTGCTCAGGCTGATCTCAAACTCATGAGCTTGAGCAATCCACCCACCATGGCCTACCAGAGTACTAGGATTACAGGCGTGAGCCACTGTACCTGGCCAGTATCTGTTTTATTCTTCACACAATTCTATGAAGTAAGCACTATTATCATTTCCATTTTACAAAGGAAGAAACTGAATCACAGAGAATAAGTAATTAGTCCAATGTCACCCAAGTAGTAAGAAGCAGAGTTGGGATTCAAACCCAGACCATCTGATTGCAAGTTCATACTTTTTATTATATGATGTTAAAGCATCAAAAAGATTTACTGTATTTCTTGTATGAATTTTTTGTTTTATAGAGAGAGAGTTGAGCTATCATAAGTTAAAATTAGGTTATAAAATCTCTATAGGATGCATAATTATTCTTGATTATCTGGATGCTGTTGGTCATTTGACTTTAAGATAGATAAGGTTATCCATTTGCATGGATGATCAAGAAATAATTCTATTATTTTCTCCTGACTTCCCCCCAAAGTATTTCTCCCAAACATCCTTTTAATGACTAAAATGAGTTAGAAGACTGCTTTATAGTAGCAGAATTACTTAATTTATGTGTATATGTCTGTTCTATTCTTACATGCCATTAAGAATTTCTATCCTTTAGCAAGGAGTTACCAATTAGTTACTTCTTAGGTAAATTCTTGGCATATCCTTCAAGGCTGTAAATGGAATAACCAGGATTTAAGGCTTACAATTCCAAAACAAGGATCCTTTATCTTAACTGAGTAATACAAGACTTCATGCACAGAATCTTAGAATGAGAGTGAAAAGGAAATTATAGCATATTTAAAAGAAAAAGAACCAACACAAATTTATTTTTTAGTACAGTAATTCCTAACTGCAAGACAATGACAAAACTGTTATTACTAATAGAGGAGATATATTTAGCATAGAAATTTACTTATAATGGACCTGCATTATCTAATACTGTGGTATTAGATACTCCTGTTAGGAACATAGGAGGAGCAAGGGAAGCTTCATCTGTATTTACTGCTGCTCCCATTTCTCCCACTCTAGATCCACGGAAAAACCGTCTTCCATGACCCTGATGCCAAAAAGGTTGGGGACCACTCATCTAATATATAACTAAAAGAATCAAATTAAATATATTTCAAATGCCACTCTTTCTATTCATCTGTAAGAAACATTTCCCTAAATTATTCTGTTTTTATTTGGGGGGCTTATCCTTAGCTAGTATGTACTGGTGTGACTACAGCAGTTGTTTATGGTTCATTCAGATTGGTCAGTGCCCAGATCACACTAGTGTTAAACATGTGGCCAATGCCCTTGCTTTCTATTTCTTTTCAAAAAACAGATCTCATAATAGTTTGTTAACTAGTTCACTTGTGAACATTTGGCATTATATCAATATGTGTCTATGAGATCTAATTAACATGAAAGAAGATAGAAGAATTTGGTTAGGAAGATTATCCTTTTTCCTATTCCCAGGCTTTCTCAAGATTAAGCAACAGAAATATTATAGTACCCCTGATTAAATCAGTGTTTACAGACCAACTAGAAACATGGATAGTTGTGTTTTCCACCATAATTAGCAAAATCACAGTTTCATCATGTCTATTTCTGTGATATAAAATAAATGAATAGTTTCCCATGGTAAGGTACTAAATACTTACTCCATTTCCTGAACAAATAGTGCCTTCTTTACTGCTTAAACAAGTACTAAAGTTGAAGGAGGCCACAGGGAGACACCTGTGTTCTAAACACATCATTTGGGGACCACACGGTGTCCCATCTTCCACATAGCCAAGATCTATATCTTCTTCAAGCCTAACATGCCCGCCACTGAAAATAAATTAGGAGGAAAAAGAAAATGAGATTCCATTAATTGACATTCACCTCAAGAACATGCTTAAAGACCTAGAAGTGGGAAATGTCACTTCTCCTATTTTCTATTATTTAATAAAAACCAGTAGCATAAGCATATTCAAACTCTAAATGGAGAAAGCAATTGAATCTTTTGACCTAATTCTTATTGGAAACACTGATACAGTTTAATATTAAACATAATTATTATGACAAGGGCCTGAATAGAAACAGCTTTATCATTTGGACTACCATGTACAAATTAAGTAACCCATTATCATTAGTATTTGATTTGATAAGTAGGTTTTAAGATTTCAAATGTGTTTCAATGAGAACTGGTTTTGGTTTACATTACCCAAAATGAACACATTACATGTGAGAATGACTAAACTGCTACAGCGTCAATATTCAATATCTCCAGCCCATATATCAGTGGGGATACTGTGTTTTCCTGGTTGCCCCTATGTGCCTGGCATCCTACAGCTGTTAAATCTTGGATTAATGTCCCAGGGGATTGCTCTATCTCTCTCCATGGTGGATATCGTGTTTCATACATCCCCTTTCTCTTCCTTGGTTTTATTCCTTCATTTTAGTAGATGGCAATTTTGAGTAGCATCCTGAAAAAGGTGTAAGGGGGTAAATTTTGGACAAACATACATATCTAAAAATGTCTTTATTTTCTACCCTCCCATGACAGATATTTTGCCAGGTTATAAAATTCTACTTTGGAAATAAATTTCTCCATTGTGTTCTGATTCCCAGGGCTCCTTTTAATAAATCCTAAACCATTTTAATTCTTAACTCTTTGCTTTTTTTTCTCTCTGGAAACTTTCACGATTTTCTTTTCTTTATCCTAAGGTTTTAAAATGTCCTGGTTTTGTATCTAGATGCACTTCTAATTTCACTCATTGTACCCAGCCCTTGGCGATCCTGTTAAGATGGAAATTCAAGTCTTTCAGTAGTAGATACTTCCGAGTTCTTCATTAACAATTTCCTCCCTGCTGTTTTCTCCATTCCTTATTACTTCTAATTTGGTAAGTTTTTTTCTCTGTTCCATTTCTTTGCTTTTTAGCCTTACTCTGGAAGATAATTTCAACCACTGAGTTTCATTTGTGTTATCCCATATTTAATTTCCAACAGCTTTCTTTCCTTCTCTGAATGTTCCCTGGTTTTTTTTTTTTCTTTTTCAAATAGCACCCTATTTTCTCATTTGAAGTCTCTTCTCACTCATAAATACTGATAGGTGATTCTCTCCCCCTTCATTGTTTTTGTCTCCTTTTTTTCATGTTAGAGACTTTCTCCACATGTCTGATAATCTGTTCACAATTGAGATAGGGAACCGAATAGATGATCAGAAATTCTGACTGAATGTCACTGAGTCTGGGCCACTCCCATAGAGCCCCCTATCTCCACATTGCCTGCGGTCCTCCAGCTTGGAAACCTCCTTTATTATTCTCTGCTGGGTATACAGCCCACCATCTGCCAGAGGAGAGTGGACATCTTCTAAACTCTGTTTCCGAGCCTAGCTGAGTCAGGGAAGGTGACTTTATTTATTTCAGCTCCTTCACCCCCATTCCTTTCCTCCCTCTTTCAAAAGTAGATGATGCTGCCAGTTTCTGAGTCTTTTGGGAAAGGACAACGTATCCTGGATTGGTTCTCAGATTTGCCCATTTCTGACTTAACATTTCGGCACTCTTTGCTTCAGTAAGCCCAGTGTCATATGTCCGTTAGCTGTATGCATTCCAAATTGCTGTTGTCTCTTCTCCCTTTCTGCCTCCCTGTGGATATATCAACTCTAAAAAAAGATCCATTTAGTGTCATGTTAGAGGGATTTCAGAAGGGAACAAAAGTAGATGCATACCTTTAATACAACTAATTTTTACCCAGAAGTCCTTATCTATTTTCCTAAATAAGAAGGAAAGTAATTACCTGCAGTTTAATGTTCTTCCCTGCTGCACAACCAAAGTAGATGTGATCTCACCATCGAGTTCTCCAAGCCTCGGGATATTACCAATATTGGTACATAAAAGGTAACCACATAGCACATCCCTATGTCAAAAAAGTACCAATTCTTTACTTTTTTCTCCAAAGGTACAGCAAAGCATGTATAGACAGAAAAATATCTTCTCTCATTTTAGCATTTGCTTTTCATCGACTCTATTACTTACTCATGTATCAAACAAAATAAAATAAGCCCAAATGAGTTTAAAGTCTTATTGGTACACTAAAATCCCAATTGTTTTTCTTTCTAGCTTTTTCTTTACTCTCCATTAGTTTTAAGTGTTTAAAGAAAATTATCCATCAAATGGACTTTTGTATCAGAATCTGTTTTTCCATAACACTTTACTAGACAAGCCTATTTTTAATATCTGATATGTGAATGAATAACCTTTGCATGAGCATTTATTTTCTGGAATACAGATGTTTCTCCAACCTATTGCCCAGTATTAGAAAAGAGATTATAAGAATATTGCATATATTTTAAAGATTTCCAATGATAAAGTCTCAACATCCTTCTTTCAATATATTTCACAACTTCCCCCAACCATCACATACTCAGACACTTCTAACTTAACCTACAAAATATCTTAATAGGTGTAAGTACTTTTTTATATATACATATTCTTTATTTCCAGTGCATTTTAATTATTAATAGTGATAATAATTAACATATATTTTAACAAATGTCTTATGAAGACTGATCAGTAGTAGGCCAGAAAGATTAGATATGGAAATATCAGATTTTATCAGATAGAGAAAAAAGAAAAATTAGAACCTGTACCTGTCACCAATATAATAAAATTGTACATTAATTTATTCTTTAAAATAATAAATAAATTTTAAATTATATCATCATTTTACTGTATCTATCATAAGCAAACTGCTTTCTCAACACACAAAAAACATTCATTCAAAATTTTTTTAATTTCACTTATATGTATGAACTGTGTTAAGTAATTTAGAATATATAAAGAAAATTAGACATAATCTTCACCCTCAAGGAAATTATCTTCTGGATGAGATAATAAATCACATACATAAACAACTTTAAAACAGAACTAGGGGCAAAGGCTATGAGTAATAGGTCCATAGGAGTTTAGAAGAGAAGGGAAAGATACTTTATCCCTAGAGTAAATCAGGAAATAATTTATAGAGAAAGTATTTTCTACTTTGAAGAACAGATACATTTTTAACTGGCAGTGGTGTAAGTATAAAGGAAGCTTTCTGAGGAGTGAATAGCACAAACACAGGCACAAAAGCAGAACAGTGTGATGCACATATAAGGAACAGTAAGGTTTGTTAAACTTGGAAGAACAGAGAAGAAAAAATAAAAAATGTAGGTGGGCAAACTGTGGAAGAGGTACAGTGTCAAGCTAAGGTTCCATTTTATGTACTAAATAAAACTGTCATTCAGAAAAGTGGTAAAGAGAGAGTTCTGAAATCAAATGGCCTGAATTCCAACTCTACCTTTTATTAATATCCTATGTGTATGACTTACACAAACTAATTAACTGTGTCTCAGTTTCCTCCTCCATACAATGGGAAGACTGCCATACAGATTAATTGGCATAGCTGGGCACAGTGGCTCACACCTACAGGCACAGCACTTTGAGGAGGGAGGACTGCCTAAGGCCAGCCTGAGCAACTTAGCAAGACCCCATCTCTACAAAAAATTTAAAAAATAAAATTTAACCAGCTGTAGTGGCATGCACCTGTAGTCCTAGTTGCTTAGGATGCTAAGACAGAAAGATAATTTAAGTCCAGGAGTTTGAGGCTACAGCGAGCTATGATTGTACCACTGTCTCTTTTTTAAAAACTCAAAAGAATAAAAGATTAGAAGGCACAGCTCATTGTAAAGTGTGATACAGTACTTAACACACAGTGTTCACTCATGGACAACGTGCAGAGGGAAGATAGGAGTCAAGGGCCACTCTGAGTGAGATACTGAGGTCTTGGGTAAAAAGAGGTGGCTTAGGAACATCAGAGCCACTTAATTCAATTCAATACCACTGAGTATGTATTTTTTTTTTTGCTTTGCTGTGCAGAAACTTTTTTTTTTTTATTAAATCATAGCTATGTACATTAATGCAGTCATGGGATACAATGTGCTGGTTTTATATACAATTTGAAATATTTTCATCAAACTGGTTAACAAAGCCTTCATGGTAGGTTCTTAGTTCTTGTGTTAAGACATTTATATTCTACATTTAGAAAGAGTCACATGTACCCTCGTAAGATGAACCACAGTTGTGGTCCCACCAATCACCCTCCCTCCACCCAGCCTCCCTGAGTATGTATTTTGGTGGCTTTACTTTTTACTGCTTTTGAGATGTTCTGGAAGATGTCTTCCAGGTAAGCAGGTGATCTGGGCCTTACGAGAGAGGTCGGGACATGTGATAAAATTTGAGGGCCCTCTGTGTAGGTGATGCTGGGCCCCGGGGAAGCAGTGAGGTGAGGTGAGGAGGCAAAGCACACTTCATGGGATGCAGCAAACGGGTCTTCTGGTTGCTCAGAACCCGTCACTGCCACCTCACCGTTTGTTGCACTGTATCCAGGTGTCTTTGTCTTTCCCACAGTTGCCCTTCTCGGTCCCTTCGATATTCAGTTTCTCATAGCAGTATTTGTCTGATGCTGTCACCTCTGAAGCAGAATAAAATTTTCTGTCAGTGAGGGAGGTAATGAGGGAGCTGCTCAAAATGGTCTCAGGGAGGAAAAATTGCAATTTAAAGATTCTTTTTCACTACAGTGTTAACGATTCCCAAAATGATGCCCATGGTTCACAAGAGTTTTCCAACATCATAGACATCCATGACTCAGGTACATTTTTCACAAATGCTTGCTTGAAATTTGAAAAAAAAAAAAGTATTTAGATATCTGATGAGACTTGGGTTATAAAAACAACATTCCTAAGGATGTGGCCAGTAATGAGAGGATGCTGATACCAAACAGTTCCTTAAATGAACACTCCTTGCTTTAATCTCAGTGCCAGATATCCTGCATGAATTTCTCACACAGCAAATTTTAATTATTAAGACAATGTTATTAAAATAATTATGTACTATAATTACATTCAAGAAACAGCAATACAATTTCTACCCTGCTCATTAATTCTTAACAGCTATCAAAAACAATTTTATTTTGCCTTTAGACAAGCTTGAATTCATGCTAAATCTCTGAGAGTAAAAAAACATTTTAAGGTATGTCAGCACCTTGGTCGGGTGTTTATCTTTTCTGTCACCAAGGTTGGTTGATAGTTATCTAAAACTTAAAACAAAGTGACTTTTGGAAACAAATCAAAGCCTACCTTCAATATAAATATTAGTACATATGAAATATATACTAAGTATGTTGGTAATTTCTGTACCTACTTATATTGTCAACTGTTACTTTTGCCCAAGTGAAGGAACCAAAAGCAATTACCTCTTTGTTCAGAGTACAAACCTGTAGAGATAAATTTTTCATCCATTTCAATGTTTCTAGTTTAAAAGAGAGTATGCACTTACTCTCCTAAAAGGATTATAGTCACTACCTATGACTGTTAAGAAATACAATTTTATAATTTTTTTCCTAATATATGTTGTCAAAAGAGTTTAGAACAAAAGCTGCTTCTTAAAGTTTGAGCCAGGCATACTTCCAGAAAATAATATATTGCTTAACATTGAAATATAAATTGAAATAGAGTTTGCAGATGTTATTACATCGGTGATGTTAATAACAGATGTTGTATATCATTCTCTGATAATCAGACAAATTTTGAAGTCAGTAACATTAAAATTTCTTTCTGACACAGGAAAGCAACCTCAGCAGAAGGTCCCCTACAACGAGGAAAACCAGCTAAAGTTTAAGGAATGTAGCTAAGGAGGAAAAAACAACTGTAGCTAAAATGCTACAGGTGTAAATTCAGGATGCCCTGTCCAGGGTCCATGTCCATCCATATGGTTGTACAGGTTTTGCTTAAGGGAACTTAATTGATGAGAGTGTACGTGGAGCTGAAGTCTAGCTTTGTTCTGTTCTCCAAGCTGTGCCCTTGCACGGGCTTCACTTGCCTGGCAGCAAAAGCACCTTCTGACTTGTCCACATGCATACCTACTAGCCAAGATGTGTAGGGTGGTGTCTTACACATAACCTCACTCTAATTTCCAGAAATATGTCCCTGCTAAGACCTTCATAGCTTAAAAACTCCTCAGTTAAAAAAGTAGTTAAAAATTTACTTATGTGCTGGTTTCAAGAATGCATTACAGAAAAAACAAATATTTCCTTCTAGTTTGCATGTCCAGGAGAAGTCTGACTGATGTCACATTTTAAATATGATCAAGTCACACTACTTACTTTGCCCCCAGATGTATTTGCATTGTCTATCCCTGGTTTTGCATCTTCCTCCAAAGCAAATTCCCTAAAATGGAAATGCAAGTACCCATTATTGATGTAATATCTGCTTACATCAGATAACTGAAGAGGTAAATATGATTGGAAAAAAAAATATTAGACCAATATTATAAAGGCCTTTTATCTGCAGAATTGACTCAGAACATTTAAACTGATCTTTCTACTTTGATAAGATTTCAGTATTTCTTTCATGCTGGCACACATTAAAAATTTAGATAAAAATGAAGTTACCTACCTGAACACCATCACAAGAATATCCATCCATTTTATGAATATTAGGGGCACACTAGGAAAGAGAACAAACTATGAACCAAACATAGAGCAAAATATTAGGCTGAACTAATTCCTTTAGTGCTTTCGTTTTTAAAATCACTTCAGGTAACATGGCTAGTCTATTAAACCATCTAAAAATAAAGACCAAGAGAACACAAGAGGAAATACAACTCTGCTGCATTTTCCCCCCAAATATGGATCTGTCAGGGGCAAAGACAGCTGATTACACAGGAGCAAATAAAAGAAGTGACTGCAATAGACTCAGCAAGAGCATCTTGCTTCATACGGATACACCGTTCCTTAGAGCTGGAAAAAGGAAAGCATAAAACGGAAGCAAGGAGCATGTCCACAAGGTGGAGAAGTAACTAGTTTTCTCTCTTTTGCTGTGAAAGGCTACACAGCCCTTATGCTTAAAATCATGACTTTCTAACAGAAGTATACTTTGACAATCTTACAAAAGGACACTCTTTATAACCCCACGTTTTGTCTTGCAGCAATGAAAGAAAGTCACAAAGGACTCATCATATAAACAGACATTAATTTTTAAACTTATGATGCATCTTTTTCTATCAATATAGTAATTATATAGTCATTTGAGAAAAGTCAGGAAATAAAAAAAGTTAGAAAAAAAAATGGAATAAGTTCACTCACATTCCCCCATCCAAAGGCAGCGATTTTTACATATATATTTTGGTACATTTTTCTCTCCACATTTTTCAATAAAAATTGATATATTTAAATATAAGTATGATCTAATTATAGGTAACATTTTACATTCTGGTTCTTCCTTTTATTTTGTCATATAAATTCTTCATGTTGTAATAAATTTTTTGTAGGTACCATTTTTAATGGCTATAACAGTGCATTGAGCTAACAGTGCACTATAGCAATCATTTTGATCCCCAATTAATTTATGCTGCTATAATCAGTGCAACAGGAGCATTAGTAGATGTGTACACACATCATTTTTAGATTTAGGATTTTTTTGAAACTCCTGGTTATTTATAGTCACATTCCAAAGCAGTTGCTCAAAACCTCTTTCTATCTAGGAGCCTTACGTGTCATCATTCATTGAATCCTCCTCATCAATAGGTGTAAGCTTAGAAGACATTGCAAATTAGATGGCAGGAAAGGAAAAATACTTCTACATGGAAGATCTTTAACCTCTTAGGATGATTAATTTTAAAATAAAACATTTTAATGGTCAACGGAGGTATACCACTATTGAATCCTTCTTCTCCGAAAAAAAAATATGTAGGCAGTCCTCACTTTGCGCAACTCTGAATTCAGATGCATGAATTTCAGTTTCCATGGTTTTGTTAAAAAATACCAGTCCCGTAATAACACAGTACCGATTTCAGTTACCACAGTTATTATTGAGAATAAGTGCATAAAGCACAACTTTGCTACTCGCTCTTTAGTCTACTGATCCCTAGGCAAATAACAGGTGTCTGCCATGGTCAGTGACATACCCTGTTATTTCTTTTCAAATTTGGTCAGTGACTGGTTACTGCCCACCTGTTTATACAACTCATGAATAGACAGTAAACATGTAGTTGTGTTGCTTTTCTGTCTTCCAGTGACACCTTGTGACATTTTACAAATATGGAAAAGCAAAAGAGGGAATTAGCCAGTGAAGATGGACGTGTAGCAAAGACATGAAAAATGATGACATCAGAAGTGAAATTTGATTTGAACATAAATGGAGCCACAGGAAAATAATAGCCAACAGTAGGAACATAATACTGTTGTTCAAGAGACTCTGTATATGCAGAGGAACTTAGTGAAGAAGAACTTATCAGCAAAAATGAATGAAGTAGTTGCAACGTAATGTAAGTAAAGATGTCCCAGAGGAGGTGATGCCACCAAGATATTTCACATTCACATTTTCACATCTCTCAGAGATATCTCCTGACATTGAAGGCACAAAGAATATGGGCAGTGCCTGTGGCTCAAGGAGTAGGGCACCAGCCCCATATACTGGGGGTGGCGGGTTCAAGCCTGGCCCCAGCCAAAACAGCAACAACAAAAAAAGAAAACACGGCTC